TCTCGGATTTGGATCGGCTCTCTCTGACTGATACCCGATCCGAGAAAAATGGCGCTATCGGAGCCGATACCCGATATGAATATCGGATCGGTGCATCCCTACACTCAACCAACACCAGGGAAGGCAGTTTTTGTCAGAGCCCTTGTTATTCTTAATTTTCACATACATTTTCATTTTTACACCAGACATATATATATCGGTTCAAAATATCGGTTGAATACTTGAACTGTAATAATTGGTATCGGCCCTGAAAAACACATATCGGTCGACCCCTAATCTGAAAGCACATGAAAATACCACATTTAATAACATGTTTTTACTCCAAACTCACTTCATAACGTCAGTCGAGTGTTTGAAATAAATCCTTCTGTGAGATGATGTGGCTTCTTACACAGAATAAGGAACGCAACATATTTCATAGTATTTAAGCAGTAATAAAGGCTATGTCGATTAGCATTGTATTATTATCAGGGACGTGCACAGACATTTTGAGGGGCAGGGGCTCAAGTGAAAAAAGGGCACTTCTCATATTTATTTCAATTTTTTCCTAAACAAAATGTTAAATATATTAGGGGTGTGCAATATAGACAAATAAATATATCTCAATATTTTCTGGGATTTTATCAATAAAGATAATTAGACGATATTTTGCTGAGTGTGTTATTGTGCTGATATCTTAAGGACTACCGTGGACAGCTGACTCCTAAAGTTTTTGATATTCTGTGTGGTAGTCAGTTCACAGCAGTGATAGAAATTAATCTTTCCCAATAAGTTTAAATGGATTTTTACTTTTTATGGGAATTTTTACCTTTTTTAAGCCATTTTTTCTAAAAGTGTGCATCATCTTTTCAGTCAAATTCTTAAATTGAATCAGTCAATTAGAATAATAAGTCATTTGGGCTGTTACCAAACAAATGAAATCAGTATTGACTAAATTAATCTTTGCAATGCTGAGAAAACACAGAAGCTGCATTAGAAGGGGCATTTAGATGCATTTACACACTGTTTAATGCAGGACATTAATGTTTTTAACCTGCAGTTTCAAATGCATTAATACGGTTTTGATATTTTAAACATACATTGAATACTGATATTTGAAATTATAAAAAAAAAAAAAATGAAGAGACTTTAAATGTGAAATTAAAACTGCCAGTAGGTGGCAGCGAGTCATTGCGATTGAACCGAATCATTTAAACAGTTGATTCATTCAGGAAGGAAACACCATCATGTTGCTCAGACACGCAAAATTGGAATTATATTTGTTGGTGAAATAGAGCAAGAACAGTCAATATTGTGTCAACAACGTAAGTGTCTTAATATTAAATTATTGTTCATTGAACTGATGTAGGTAGCTTAGTCTTTTAGTTATCACCATTCACCTCCACAGCAAGACAAACACAACTGGAAAGGGAGAGAGGGCTTCACTTCTACGGCTCTCTGTCTGTCTGTCTGTGATGTGCCTATCAATGTGCGCTACACTGCTGTGCTGCAGAGACGTGGAGAAAGGCATCGGAACTTTCTCCGGAGTTAATAAACCCGACCTGATATTTTGATTGTTTATTTGTTTGACAAGGAAAGCTGTGCGCAAACAGAAACACACACACACACACATACAGTGGTGTGAAATGTTTATTAGTCATGTTGAATTAATGAAAGCAGTTAAATCTTCTGTTTATTCAGCAGCCGCTATAGGGATTTCCTGGGTTTCTTCTGCGGGTCGTATTTGGAGTTTCAGCGGGAGAGCTCCCTCTGGTCTTCGGATGGAGATTTACTGCTGATCACAGAACCGTGCTTCACTGAATGATATGCATGACCATCGCAGCTTTGCTATTTAATTTTGATTAATCGTGCAGCCCTAGCTTCCGGTTTTTGCTGTATCCCTTCTAGCCACAACCGTTTGGGGTGGCAATTCCAGGAAAGGAAATATAAATTAAGAAAAGAACATCTAATAAATTAGGGGTGTGTAGAGATATTAACTGCATTGCATTGGGTGGAAAAGGTAGGACAGGGAGACGTTTTGATATGCTCTGACTCTTTATCAGTTTTAGCAAGTTTAAGGTAATTTCACTCAAAAACTCAGCAAGAAATTCTGTAGGAAATGCTTCAGTTAAACACAAGAATAGTAAATAAGGGATGCCAAGTAAGTTTTATGTGGGTCCCAGCACAGTTGGGATTAGGGTTAATGAAATGGCGGATAGGCTGGCTAAAAGGGCACTCACAAAGAGAACGTAGAAATGCAAGTCCTTATAAGTAAAGCAGAGGTTAAATGCTTAATATGGGAGAAAATCAATAAAAGGTGGCAAGAGAGGTGGGATAGAGAGGAGAATGGGAGACGGTTATACCAAATTCAAAGAAATGTTAAAGAGGGAATTTTTGTGTTAAATGCACACAAAGAGAGAACAGATCAAGTTTTATTTTAACAAATTACCTGATCCACACTCCGGAGCAGAAGGGGGTGGTAATGCACCTATAATCTGAATGCCAACTGCCGTTAAACTAATAAGAAGAAGAAGAGACTTTTACGACCAAATCAGCAAATATTTTCATGAAAGTTTTTCTTTCTCTTCATTATTTTCATGCCAAACATGACATAGTGCCCAAAGATGCTGAAGAACGCCTGGTGAAGCAACTGAGATCCATGTGAATGTTATAAAGATGGCGTTTATTAAAGAGGAGAGTGAAGACATGAAGATTGAAGAAGCATTCAGAGTGAAACATGAAGATACTGAAGAACAAACAGGTTGATTTTCATTCTCAAAGCTGAACTCAGTCAATATTTATTTCTCCTTAATTGCAAATTCTAAATTTTATTTACATATAAAAATACCTACTATGCTGTTGTGCATGCCAAAAAACAACAATGATAATAAAATATAAAAATATTTTGTTTATTTCTCTAATTGCAAATGCTGTTTTTAAATGTTATTTACATATAAACTACTTCGTATGTTGTATTATATTTTATTGGAAACTTATTTTCACTGTTATGTGAGACGAAATATATACACTGACATTCACATCATTTTGACAGCTTCATTTGAATTTGAAAGATGCTGTTGGATCATAGAAGGTAAACGTTGTAGCCATTAAAGAAAGTTTTAGTTTCATATTCATGTTTAAATATTATAGTACTATTTGTTTAAAATTTGAATTGAATCTAGGTTACATATAAAAATGAACACCGTTACAAACTAGCTAGTAGTTACTAAGCCTCTGGGGAGGACAGTTTATATAAGAACTTATGAATGGCTGGTGCAACACTGAGCTCTATGTGGCAGTAGTCTTGTGGGATATTCTTGGCATTAGGTCCCAAAACGTAAATTAGCTACTTCTCCCTCTACCTAGGCACATCATATCATGAGACCACAATAGCAGGCATTTAGAGAACAATACATTTAAAATAATAATAAATACATTTAAAAGGAAGCACTATAGTTCAGGTGGGGTCAGGCAAACATATACAAAAAAAGTAATGTGACAATAAAGAAAAACAAATGACATGCCAACAATCAGAGATCAATTCAGACACCTGATAGCAGTCAGCCATGTCACAAGGAGAAATGCAGGGATAAACAATATCAGCAAACAACAAAGACATATAGGACATAACGGTTGATATTAAACCCAGCATGCAGTCACTTTAGTGTTGATAAAATTGGGCTTATATGATTATATTGCTTGGATCTGTTTTCATTCTCAAAGCTGAACTCAGTCATTTGACCCTTTTTAAAATGTCGACCTCTACAGAATTGAATACTGCTTTTGAAGAATGTCACACGAGTGGCCAAAAATAAGTGGTTTTATGTGATTATGGAGTGGGTCGCACATGTGGACAGACATGTTGAGATGACATGACCAGCCTATGGACATGTTACAAAATATGCGTTACTAAATATTTTTGTGTTGCAACATTAAAATTAGTTGAAACTTAACTCTAAATAGAAAACTTTACAACATTAACAGAAGCCTCTGACCAGGAGTAATGATTGGAATGAAACAGGAGATTTATTGAATTGCATCAGTAAGCTCATTTATAGCACTTACACTTTTTTACTTTTTAAGAGAGAAAACATTATGTAAATAAATTACTTTTAGCAGTTCTTTAACATAAACATGATCTAAACGGCAGACTTCACCTCATCACTCTGTGTTGTGCATGCCAAAAAATATGGGGTCAGGCAAACATGTACAAAAAAAGTAATGTGACAAGAAAGAAAAACAAATGACATGCCAACAATCAGAGATCAATTCAGACACCTGATAGCAGTCAGCCATGTCACAAGGAGAAATGCAGGGATAAACAATATCAGCAAACAACAAAGACATAGGACATAACAGTTGATATTAAACCCAGCATGCAGTCACTTTAGTGTTGATAAAATTGGGCTTATATGATTATATTGCTTGGATCTATTAAGCTCTCTAGCTGTTGCATTTTGAACTAACTAGACTCTTCTTCCACCTAGAAATGTTACAGGTTAAAAAAATTACCATCCCTTCTGTCTTTGCTATCATCAAAATACTCTGCCAACTTGAGAGTTTTGCAGTTTTGTCAGGTTGTGAGGAAATATAAAACAGAATATCATTGTCATAACAGTGGAAACTAATAACAGTATCTCTAATAGTAAACATATACCAAGAGAAAAGCAAAGGACCTAATACTGAGCCCTGTGCCACTCCAAAATTGTGTCTGATAAGGTGTCTCTTCATACAAACAAAGTTGTAATGGTTGAATAGCTTGGACCTGAATGTGTTAATGCTTGTCCACAAATGGCAACATAATTCTCAAGCTATCCAAGAGAATGTCAAAGTCTATGTTGTCAAAAGAAAACTTGTAACTTTTATAAGTACAGTTTCAGCTCTATGATGTGACTTAATTCCTGAAATTCTTCACAATTCTCCATACTGTTTCTCAGCAAAACTGAACATTTGTTAAGAGGACACTATTTTTCTAATGTTTTGGACATAAATGATAGATCTGAGATCGGTCTATAGCACATTCACAAAAAAAAATAGGCTAAATGTGCTTAATGCAGAAATTCAGGAGCAACTTATCTTAATAAGATAAAATAAATTTTTTGTTGAATACAGCCCCAATTCTTCTGGGTCAAACTGTTTTTTGTTTTTTTTTGACGAGGGCTTTGATAATTGTTAGCTTGAAAGTATTTGGGACGTGTCCTTAAAGGGATAGTAAACCCAAAAATGAAAATTAGCCCATTATTTACTCACCCTCAAGCCATCCTGGGCGTATATGACTTCCTTCTTTCAGATGAATTCAATCGGAGTTATATTAAAAATTGACTTTGATCTTCCAAGCTGTTTAATGGCAGTCAGCGGGTGTTGCATGCATCAGTCCAAAATAAGTGATTTGCGCATGCGCCGGTGAGTCTCATGAAAACTAACATTTGTTAACAGGAGCAAAGGAAGCAAAGTTTTCTTACTTCAGCAAAGGAAATCCAGTCTCCTCTTGGCTTACATCGAAATCCTCCGACATTCTTCTTTACAAATCCTCGTTTTGTACTTCTAATAAGTGACGTTGTTTTG